GGGTGGGACAGGAGAGGAGGGGGTGCCCGCACAGCCCCGCATCCCCCAGGGTACCACAGCCCCCTCTGCTCTACGCCAAGAAAACTACAAGCGGTGGCCCCAGCATTAATAATGTGTGTGATGAAAACCCACATGATCTTACCCAGAAAATGCACTGAGGCTGGTTTTGGGGGTTTTTTCACTTTCTTACCTTTACCTAGCGATGGAGTACGGGTGTCCTGGAGGTCGCTGTCGCCTGGTCTTGCCGGGTCTGCCACCGCTCTGATTCTCGCACTGCTGCGTCTAGGACTTGGATGAACAACTGGATCTGATCTGCTTATTCTGTTCTGTGTTCGAAATGAAACATTTTGATGTTTTGTCAGTAGAACTAGGCCTTTGCTCAACACCTTAGAGCAAGCACATAATCGTTCTGAGATTTGCAAATCAGGGTCTTTTTCCGTAAGTAAGTGGGAAATCAAAAATCTTGTTAAGACTTCCTATAACTCAAAGGAGTGAAAAACATTGGTTTTCCCTGAACAAGGTGTTGACTGGATCACTGTGAAACCATCTTCTTTCCAAGAGGCATTTTAAAGCAGCACTTTCGGTCAGCTCTATGCAAAAATATTCCACAACAGCCCCAATAACTTTTTTCCTTACCTCTGGTATCCCAGTGAGGTCACATTCTGTTAAAAACATCCTGTCAAGCTTGGTACAAAAGGGCTCCAAAGAATCAGAATGCAGAAGCTATGCAACTTGCTGACTAACTTTGCTCTGTGTTATTTACCAAGCACACAAAGAAAATGCTGTCTATTCAAAACACAGTTCAAAACTCTCTTCACAGAAAGTGAGTGAACAAACAGTCCCATGTCCGACGCTGCAGTCACATCTCCCATGAGGCCCGGTGATAGCTCTGGAGCATGGGACGGAATGACACCACCCGCAGTCACTACAAGGCACTTTTGTAAACAAGTTGTGTGTGTGTGTGTGCGGAGAGGAGCAGGAGGAGGCGGGTGTTACTTTTTCTCCATCTTAACACTAAGCTGTATTTGCTTTAGCATCTCAAAGCAGGACTTCAGTCTTGCTTAGTCTGCTGGGTGCACTTGCTCTAGTACTTGCTCCTCACTAAAACTTTTTTTTTTTTCCTTCCGAAGGGATCTGGAAGGAGCATCTGGAATGAGTGCAGGATCTAGGTGTGGAACCTTGGAGCCAGGTTAAGCAGAAGCAGCTAATTCAGAGTCTTCCAGACCCGTCACAGAAGCAGACAAGGAAACGCAGTGACTTGCTTTACTTCACACCCAGTAAAATTTGAAACACTTGTGGAAAGCCTTTTGAAATTATTAAAACCATACCAAAGTTTCAAGTGTTATTACCAAAACCTCAGAGTGAGGATTCTGACCCAATTTTATGACTTTGCCTCATTATACAACTGACTTCTTGAAGCGATTTGGTATTGCTCTAAAAATCAGAGGAAGTTTAGATTTTGCCTTTCAGTTTAGTAATATCAAATATTAGTAAAATAATAAATCCCTTCCACCAGCTTTCATTATTTTAAACCCATCTATTGTTTGAAAACTCTTACCCCCTAGTCACAAAGTCACACTTTGGCAGAGAAGCAGAAACGTCTTCTTCAGGTCTTTGTAGGAAGAGAAGTACTATATAGACCCAGTGCTTCCAGTACTGCTCACTGGCCTCTGCTTACACCAAGCTTCCAGTGCTTTTCTTAATATTTACAATAAATCACAGACAACAACTATATCTGGATGTGGAAAGATGAAAAACTGTTCTCATTGCTCTATTTGTAATTTATTTCTTTAACTGTCAGACCGACACTGGAATCCTCTTTCTGCTACCCAGTCCAAACAATCCTTCTGTCTTGTCTACACGGCAGCCCTTCCCATGGTTGCTTTTTTTTCACAAGTTCCTAGTAAATATTTTTTCTTATGCTTTCAAAGGTCTAAAAGGTGTTATAAAACACCTCTCTTGTATGTTTTGTAGGGTCTGTTTCTGCAGCACAAATGTGTATTCTGGTCCCCTCCCAAGTGAAATACCTTTATGAGCTTTACAGATTTGTGATATAGGTTCTTCCAAATCTTTATTCCAGGAATAAGTATCACTCCAGGTATGACATAAAGGACATTCAACTGCTGACGTACTTTAACATCGCATTAAAATTAGTGGTGTATTATATACATTATTCCTCTTTCCCAATGACCTTAATGTTCCACTTAATTATCTGTATCTCAGGAACACATACCCTGCCTCCTGAAGTACTGCAGTATACAGTAGGGCAGTTATTTTCACAGTATCACCATAAGGTCAGAAAGTTTATCATTCCTATTTTATGGACTGGGAAGACCTCAGCTAGATTTTCCTTTTAAGACTTTTCTGAGCTCTGGTGCCTATTTTTGAACAAGTCAGAACCAGCATGGAGAAGGCTGCATGCAAAAGCAAATTCTACAGAACATTAAGGCTCCTATGTCCAGATATCTGCCTGATTTTCTCTTCTCTGTTAGTGGTGCTGCAAATAGATTTTGAAAGATATACCGTACTTTTATAGGGAAATCTACAGAGCTACGTGAGTTAAAGGAGTCTGGCATTTTAGAATTGTGTTCAGATCATACTCCTTTTCTACACTACTATAAGAGAGACAGCACTTTTTTTTTTTCTTTTGTTAAAATCAGCAATAGCATTGCAAAGGAGAAATAAGTAAATTAGTGTGCTAGAAGTTCTTCTTGTCATTTGCAACCTGACATTCCATGTCCCACACATAAAATGGCACTTACTGCAGGGCACCCATAGGCACTGTCCTTCCTTTGGAGTCTGGTTGGAGACAGACACCTCTGCCTTGATTTTCTGAGGTCTGGATTGCCTATATATGTGCTTTTCAAAAATTACTGTGTACTTCAGTCTCATGGAGAAAGAGGGCTGGGAAGTTTAACTTTTGATGTTGATTCACCGAATATAGGTCACATGGGAGCTTAGAGGTGAACTTAATAACGCATTTAATGGCAAAGACTCTTCTCTCTCCCTCCAACAGCCCCACCAGGGAAATGAAAACAAGCAAGACTGAGACTAACTGTGCACACAGAGGAGCCCTAGCTGCAGTCACCAGCCTGCTGCAGAATCCTCTGGGGATGACAGGCAGAGTTGGCAAACAAAAGTGGAAAGGTATAGAAAGAAAGAAAGAGAGAGAGCTAGAGAAAGAAAATGCTTTTTCTGACTATTCACAAAATATACCCAGCACTTAAAAAATAAATCTAAATGCACAACAATTCCAGGCAGGCCATGCAATAAACATTTAGTTAGGTGTCTAATAACTCCAGGAACAATGTTGGATACCAACCAGTCACATGCTCGCATCAGGTGGTTTAAAAAAAAAATAAAACAAAAAAGATCCCATGCTTCCTGCTTCTCCATGTAATTGCCATGAGTTTCGGTTTGGAGTGATGCTGTAGAGAGGGGAGAGTGAGGTGAATTTGAAACAGATAAAAGCTGGGTAAACCACTCCAGTAGTCAGGCTTATGCAAAAGTACTTAACCAGAAAAAAATGCTGCTGATGTTTTTGTTCTGGTCTTTCACTGAAGCTTATTCTGGCCTTCTGATGTGCCTCCTATAGGTTTCCTCTGCCAGGCAATTGTGCATGTGCTCACGGTAGCAACTGCTAGCACCACATTTATTTATTTATTTTCAACCTAAATAATCTCTTAATGGCTTAACATAAAACATTTGGATTTTTTTTTGATGTACACTAAATATTAAATAATCTCTTAATGGCTTAACATAAAATATTTGGATTTTTTTTTTGATGTACACTAAATAATAAAAAAGCAAGAAGGACAATAGGCCATAAGAGAATGAAAGGGATGATTGTTCAGAACCCTATTAAAAGGTTTGTTGCTTTATTTATATGTTTTTTAACAACACAATTTCAAAGCCTTTTAAAGAAGACTCCTCCTCCCCAGTTGCCTGCCAAGATAGTACTTAGCTGAGGGAGGGAGTGGCTGGGCTTTTTAAAAAGATGGGATCT